AGACACTCCAAATTCTGATTTCTTTTTTCATTTTTTCAATTCATTTCGATTTCATTTTTTCCTACAAGTGCCTGTCACTGAAAACACGCTCTTAAAAATATTTCAGTAAGGAATGGATCACCTATTCACAAATTAATTTCAAGAGTGATACAGACATCACAGTGATTTAAAACAAGGTTGGGTTTCTTCCCCTTTTCACTGGGATAGCTCTCAGATTAAATCCAGCAAAATCGACTGAGTCATTTCAGGTTTTCCCCAACACGTATTTTTGTAGCTTAAAAAACAAATATCAGAAGGGGAAAAGAACAAAAAAGAACCTTGCAAAGCTGAAATTGCTCTTTCCATTCAGATGCAGTGCTATACCCAAACTGAAATTGTCACACAGCCCGTTAATCTCCATTACAAACTATGTTCTTTATTTAGTAAAATTACAGCATTTGGTTGAATGATAACAGTATTTACATACTGGTTTATGAGCTCCTGAGATGTTTCTCAAGCAAATAAAATAAGAGAATAGGTTACGGTTTATTGGAATAAGAGAACTGCATTGTTCCTAGGAGAACAACATACTGCTGCTGTTATTGCTCCTATGCTACAAATGTTTAAAACAATGCTGTACTTTGAAGGATTCAAAGCACATATCATCTACCAAAATAGGACTAAATCAGTGGTGCATGCAGAATAGTCCCCAATGATGACAAAGGCAACCCAAAGAATCTACAGAAAGCATTTGAATTTACAAAATTCAAAGAGTCCTCCTGAAAACAACTTGCAAAATTTCATATTGTGGCTATGCTCTGTAGAATAGTATAAATCCAGAAATTGGTAAAATCTAGGGGAAAAAAAGGTATTTGTAAAGAAAGGAACACAACAAACCTATTGTTGTCCCTATTAATTATGTTACATCCCTACTTGTGGAGCATCACCCAAATTTAAAAAAAAGCACAAAAGCAAAATGCCATAATCTACCAGTAGAGAAAGGATCAGCATAAACAGATGACATCCAAAGGGCTCTGGAAAACAACAAATACACCCAGAACCTCAACAGCAAGAACAGAATAACAAGCACCTACATAGCTGCAGTTTTCAATTATTAAATATTAAGCATCATACGAGTATTTGCACATAGCATCATGCAGTGATGGAAGAGCTGTCTTAAATATTTTTCAGCAAGACATCCTCTCTTGACTTACCTCTGAGACCAAGAGCTCAGTCCCATACAAACTAAGCACTTTCTAGCAGATTTAAAAGCTTTTTATGTACTTTGCTTTCTAATGAGACAGTAGTTCTCTACTAAAATAGAGTTTATTCAATTACAACTATTTCTAGGGGGACTAATAGAATAATAAGCCTGAGACTGCAGCATGGGTAGAGCTCCATGGACATCCAAGCCTGCAAAGTGAAATAAATGTCAATAAAAGCCACAGTCCAGGGCCAGAGCTGGCGAGGGAAGCATTCCTTCTACCAAGCATGGCAAACCACAAACCCTTGTTGCAGAACACACACACACACACACTCAGACTGAAATCCAACCTGCTGGTCAGTGACTGGTCTTCAGAAAATTTTAACAACTACTGTCAGCACTAAAAACATCCCTCTGGGGGGGAACCAGGCCTTTTAATCCATCTCCTGCTTTTTCGAGTATGGTGACAATTTCCTAACAATCAGTTTTAATATCAGACTGCAGGGAATTTTTTGAAGCATGCAAGTATGCATGCATGCCCCCACATACTAAATATATCACATAACAACTCCCCATTTGAAAAGTGCTTTTGGTAACTCAGAATTTATGTTTTCAAGTTAAGTATTCTACGCAGCAACAAAACCAGCATAACCTCTGCAAAATAAAAACCAGGTTATGTAAGGATCTGGCGGTACAGACAGGTTTGCATATCAGGCAATAAAGTATTTTGAAGTTATAATATTATAATAACTAAAGCTTCACTTAAGAATTTATTCCACAGCAAACCTTCCCCAATTCTCCATCCACAGTCCTCTCTTTAATTTTGTTTTCCTCATTCCTTATGTACACTGGTTATTATAAATCCTGATGTATCAAAGCAGCTTTGCAATGTGTGCAGCTGTGAAATCTAAGGATATGAAACAAATATTTGTAGTGTTTGCCGAGTCAAAAATAAGGATTTTTACACTTAGACAGGTGTATAAATGTGTACATATACCTAAATATCTGTGTACTTGTATCTATCCTCCACACAGCTCACATAAGAGTCCAGAGCTGCCTGCTTACAACCCATGGCAGAACTGAGACCTAAACAAGTAAATTTCTGAACTCAATACACAGCTGAACATATGAGCTTAAAAGGTAACAGTTCTAAAAATAATTTCACCTTTACTAGTCACACATTAAGGTCACATTGTTGCCATAAGATATAAAGGACCCTATCAAAAACAAAAAGGCAAGAAATCAAGTGCTATTTCAATAGCTTAAAAAAATGCACAAACCCCAAACCTACAAGTCTACAGGGACCCCTTACACCTAATCCATCCATCAAGTCCCGACTTCGAGGAGGCCAAAATGTTGTCATTGTCATGTTTTCCTGCGTGGCTCTGTACCTCCAGGTTTTAACTATTAGAAAGGCACAATCAGCTGGTGTGTATTGTATAGGTCAATTTACTTCCAATACACTAATTTCTGCAACATTAGCACAGAATGCCAGCTACAATTCCCTTACTGTTTGCACTCTAGGAGTAGACTTGTATTTTCTGCCAACTCCATTACATCATCCGAAAAAACCCAAACACTTTTTTTTTTTTTTCCCCAAATCCCTGCCACTCTCCTTTTCCTTCTCCCCTCTCCCTTCCCAAAGCGCTCGGCAATCACTGCCGGGAGCTTTATTTCGCCGTGCAGCCCGCCGAGCCCCGGCGCGCAGGGCTCTGGCCATTGTGTGGCGGGGATGCCTCCCTCCATCACTGACCTTCGCTTTCCCACTCAGACTGTTACATAACGCAGAGCCTGCTGCGTGCGCGGCCGGCAGCCCGGGCAGCGGCGGCGTGTGCCGGGCCCCGCTCCTGCCCCTGCCCCTGCGAGCCCGGGGCAGCAGCGGGGACATGTGGGTCAGCAGGTTAGCAGGAGCAGAGCCCCAACAATTCGGGAAAACACTCGCACCGCCGGAGCCGCCCGGGCTTCCCAGCACACCCCCCCCCCCCCCCCCGCCCCGCTCCTTTTCGCATCCATAGAGAAGCGACAGCCGAGTGTTACATAATTGATGGGATCCCAAAGTTGCCCCCTGCCCAAAGGCGGCGGGGCCCGCTGCCTCTGCCGGCAGCTCCATCTGCCCGCGCCGCCGGAGCGCTGGGCCGGAGAGCGGGAGGGGGCGCGTTGTGTAACACCCGCCAACTACGGCCGGCTCCGCAAACATCCAGAAAACTCCCCGACAAATTAAGGAAATTTTCTCCAGTGTTTCTGATTAACCTCGTTACATAAGGCGCTTGCATTCCAAATCCACTCTCGCAAGCTCTAAATATACCCCGCGCAGCCAAACGCTCCCTGCGCACACGCCCGTGGCCACCCGGCCTCCTCCGGCCGAGCCCGCTCCTCCTCGCCTCGGCATCCGCCGAACGGCGCGCTCCCCGCTCGCAAATCGCCTCTAATTAAATGTTTCGGCGTGTGACATCTCGATGGCTTTTACTGTACGCGGATTCCCTGAGTGGGAAGCTGCCTGGGAAGGGGGGGTGTGGCCAAAAGGGGAAAAATACTGTAAAACACAAGCCAACACATGATCAGCCATATTCCAACCTACAAGCCGAGCCCCCTCCGTCCGAGCAGAGACGGTCTCGCCGCTGCCCGCGGCCGGGCATCGCTGCCCCGGCCCCGCCGGCGGCCGCCGAGGGGGCTGCGCTCCCGCCGGGCACGTACTTTTCTCCGCCCGTCATTTCTTTCAACGGCCGTGTGTATTATTACATAGCGTTATTTAATTCATTTTTACCCATCACCGAGGGATTTTACCGAGCGAAGCCTCTCTAGCGCGCTCCCCCCTCTTGCAGGAGCAACGCTTCATAAATTATTTACAAGTAATTAAAGCCGCAGCCTCCTCCCTCTCGCACGTCTCGGCAAAACTCCGGCGGCGTTTGAAGCCGGGCCGCGCTCGGTGGCCGCGGCGGGGGCAGCCGGTCCCGCACGGCCCCGCACAGCAGCGCGCAGCTCTCCCGCCGCCGGCGCGGCTCGGGCCAAACTTCACCGCCCCGAGCACCTCCGGAGCCGGCCCGCACGACTCCGGGGCGCAGCCTGAGGCGGGAGGGCTTTGACAGCTGGCGGCGGAGAAGGGGGGCTCGTTTGTTCGCAGCGCTTTATTCGGGGCCGGCGGAGAGCGGTGAGAGAACCCCCGGGCGCACGGAGACCCTCTGCGAAGTTGGGCACCCTCAACAACAGCAGCTACGAGATCATCCGCTCCGCGATGAAATAATTTTTAAGATACACTTAAATGAATTAAGGGAAAACAGCGCGCAACAGAGTGAATAAGTCACCCGCAAACCGCAAATCTCCTGTTTAATCACAGATCCCCCATTCACAACAAGCCACAGCACACCAGTTGAGAAACTGTCAAAAGGAGACAGACGAGGGGGAGAAAAAAGGGGGGGAGGAAGGACACTGCAGCTTTAAAAGTTTGTTCCCTTGAATCCCAATACTCCTGCTGTTGCTTTATATATTTATAAAATTATGTAATTTCAGGGGCACAGTACCCATCCGGATACCACAGGCAATAAACGAGAGGGACAGGAAAGCACCAAACACCGCTCAATATTTTCATTGCATTTGTCCCTCCTCCTGCAGCAATTAAAAGAAGCTATAAAAGTTTGCAAGGTTTTGCAGGGGGTACAAGCCCGGCTTGTTTGCGTGCGCGGCTTCAGCAAGCACGAGCGATAAACCAGGGGATTAAATTGCTGCATTTCCCCCTTCTCTCTTACCCCCCTCTTCCTATTCCCACCCACCCCCCGATCCCACTCCCCCGGCCCCCTCCCCCTTCCCCAAGTCTCCCTACCTCTGCTGCTGCTGCTGCTGGAGTAGCTCTGCCTGCGGACGGGAGCCGGCGCATCGCTTTTCCGGGCAGGCTCCAGGTTCACCGGGGTGTCCCTGGCGCCGGCGGCCGCCTCGGAGACGCTGCTGCCCGGCTCACTGGCTGCTGGATCGGGGGCTGCCGGAGCCGACTCCATGTTTTTCCCAATGTAGATCGCTTGGAGATGGCGAGCTCCTACACTCCCTCTATCTTCTGTTTCCAGCGCAACTCTATGGTAGGAAAGCAGAAGGGAGAGAGCGAGCGTGATCCAGATGGGATGTGAGCTTGCCTGGCTGTGACCACAAGCAGCGCTAGCGAGAGCTGCACACCCCCCCGCCCCCGCACCCCCCGCGCTCCGCCGCCAGCCCCGCGCCCCACGCCCGGCACCGCCGCCCTCCGCCCGGCCCCGGCCCCGGCCCCGCCGCAGCGCCCGGAGCCGCGAGGGGCGGCGGCCGCGGGCTCCCGGCGAGCCCCGAGCGGGGCCGGCGCCGCACAAGGTGCTGCCATTGCCCGGGGCGGGCGGGGAGCCAGCCCGACCTCCGCCCGGGCCGGCACCGACGGCTCGGGGAGGTGATGGGGCCCGGGCGGCAGGGCCAGCGGGCCCGCCGGGAGCTCCCCTCCGCAGTCCCGGTACCGGCGGGAAGAGCTTCCACGCAGGGCTGTCTTCCCTCCCCCATGACTGCTTCAGCTGAAGCCGCATCAGAAGATGCCAGCTGTATTAAGCGTCTCAAGACCCACATGTTCAGCAGCCACGCAGCCGGAGAAGGCAACATTTCAGACAATACCTCTCTCTCAATGAAGTGCGCTTTGACATAGAACAAAAGGTGACTAGCAAGGTGCCAGAAAACCTCCAGATCTGGGCTGACTTCTGCAAGCACCCTTGTGCAGCTCACAGTCTCGGTAATGGTCAATTCCTTGTCCGCTGCCTGATGTTAAATCCAGTAACAGCTGCCACAAACACACCCTGGAGAACACATCGCTCGTGTACAACAGAGGCCATGTTCCCTGCAGCCCCACTGCCTCCTGCACACAAGGTGCTAAAGCTGCCTGCTTTGACTGCTCTGACTAGCAGCATATCCCGAGTAGACCAAATCATGATATTTTTACTGAAAGCGGTTCAAGCTTTTTCCAAATGGCACTTGGTCATGTGCAAGCAGCTGATATGCTACCTTCTGCCAACCAGGACTGCTGCTGCAGCTTTCAACACTGCTGCTGGTGCTGGTACCTGATGAAACTTACAGGTAAACCCTGGGCAACTCCCTATTCTGCAGTACGATCACCAGTACTGCAGTGTTGTTCCTCAAACAGCTGTGGAACGTACCATGAGTCCTGCTTGTCCCCGGAGCCTGTCCACAAATGGGATTACATCTTGCACTGCTGGTAGTCCTTTTGGTGGAAGGGTAGGATCTTGGGTCAGTTGATTTGGAAGTCCTGAAGTTCCAATTACCCGTGTCTGGAAAACAAACACCACTACAGTTTTGATTATCTCGTCTGCTTCCATCTGAGAGGAATGGGCAGAGATTGCAGAACACAGAGCGACATTAAAAATTATTCTGCATTCACTTTCAGAGCATAAATGAATTGGAGATGGTCAGAGCTGGGCTCATAGACTTTGCCCACTGAGTAAAACCAGGTCTTGTTCTTTGTGATGAAGCACTGGGTTAGGGCAGGCCTGGGAGTACATGGTATGGACACAAAAGGCTACCAGGTTTTCCACCAAAGGGTGTCAAGCTGGATGGAAGCTGTTCCTAGAGAGCAGCCTGAGAAGGAGAGCGAGTGGAAGTGGACAAGGAAGCACAGGTTGCTCCCCAGGACCCATGTGGGGACTGTGAGCATCCCTGGAACACACTGGCAAAGGCAGGGGCACAGGCTTTGGTCTCTCCAGAATCTGCAGAGGGCAGCAAGGTGGTCCTTCTCTGATGCAAGTTCGGTGGATTAGAGCTGCGATTTCCTGCAAAGGCTCTCCCTTCACTCTTTGCTAATTGGCAGCCTCCAAACACAAGTAAGAATTATGTGATCTGTGGAAACCAAGCTGCCTGTTAGCCCGAGAGAAAGCTTATCCCTCCCTCCTCAGATGGGGGTTTTAGCAGGCTGACCAGGCAGTGTGTGGTGGGAAACTTGCCCAGCTAATAAAAAAAAGAACTTCATTCCTCAAAGCTGCCAGACCACTGCCTTTCACCAGTGCTGGCAACAACTGGACCACTTGCCACAGTAAGGATTATTCACGTGAGTGTTTTGCAGGACTGGTTGTAGTATTGCAGCTACTTCAAATTATCAGAGAGTGGGGTTTTCTCCTTCTATCTGTTAAAGACTGCTGATATTTTGTACACCTACCTTTGTTATACAATTGGAATTTAATGCATCTTTTCCCCTATTTTCTAAATTGAAACAATTTTTCAATTTACTTAGAAGAGAAAGGAGGAGGAAACACTGGAGGCTACAATAGGATAACACAGTAGATCTTTTTTTTTCAAAGTAAATTGTGAGGGAGGGGAAATCACAGGAGTAAGCCCAAATGCTTAGAACATCTGAATTAATGGAGAAGAAAAATTAATGTTATGTTGTTTCTCAACATCTCTCTCATAAATCACCAGCAATTAGAACCAGCTAAAGCAGGATAAATTCATAGCATGTTTGTAGAGGCCACAATCTAGGAGCACCTACACAAAGAAAAAGACAAAGCTGCTTTGCTCTAGCAAAAAGAGAGGCTGCCCACAAACTGAAAGCACCATGGGGAAAGGAAATAGGTGACAGTTCACTTGAGATATATATAATGAAGGAAAACCATCACAACTTTTATCCAAACCTTCCTCTCCGTGAACCTGTTCTGCTCAGACATTTCCTGGGCATTGAAAAGGTCTTCCTCGTTCTTCAGTCTATTTCTAGCTTCCAATCCCTACCAAGATGGTTCATTAACTTTGATCACTAAGCTTGTTTCAACAAGTGAGATGGCATTAGCAGCAAAGACAGGTATGCTGAGAAACTTGAGGATAAATGTTCAGTTAGATGAGAGAGGGCTTTAGAAATTGCTGCAGATATTACACGCAACAGATAATACTAGAACTATCAGTAATGGAAGAAAAAGAGACAAGTGCCACCAAACATCTCCTATTGACTTAGCTATTTTCATGTAGATACAATGATTAATAATTTTAAAAATTCTAATTTAAAAAGTCACATAAATCTTACATGATTCTGCAGTAGAGGAGGTATAAAGATCATCTGGACACTTTTCCAGTGGCAGAGGAAGTGGCAGAGGAGCTGTAATGCACACAGCCACCAGACACACAGAAAGCAATTCTTGGGCAGGACAGGCAGGAGGCAGAGAGCACACAAATGTGTGCAACAAAACCTCAGCTCACACAGGAACAGCACCCAGCATTGTGTTCTATCAATGTGCAAGCCTGCTTTGAACCTGAGTCACTAAAGGTCTTCTACACACACCAGCTGTTCAAACACCTCCCTCCAAAAAGAATGCCAAAGCACACTGCTGACCCAGGAGTTACATGAAAACACAGAATATCTCAAGTGGGGAGGGACCCATAAGGATCACTGAGTCCAACTCCCTGCTCCTCACAGGACAGGACCAACACTAAATCCTGCGACTAAGAGCATCTTAAACAGCAGCCCAGTTCTGGGGCCTGGCCTACCCCTGGCCACAGCACACCCATGTCCAAGGGGGCTGTCCAGCCTTCCCAGGCAGCTTTGGTAGCTCCAGTCCAGCATTGTACAGAACACATTGGTGCAGAGATCAATAACCACGAGGCAAAGCTTGAATAACAAGGCAGAGTCACAGCTGTTCCTCCTCCACAACAGTAAGGCACTTTTCCTTCCATGGACACATCCCTGTGGTTCTGATGTCTTTGCAGGAAAAAATAAATGAAAAAATTCAGAGATTGAAGACATTCAGAGCAAGTAGGACACCAAGGAGGTTCTCAGTACAGTTCTGATGTCATCATGCTTATATACCAATATTCAAAGAAGTGTTTAAAATATATACATCTATTCTTTGATTCTTTGCAACTGCATTCTGCAGCATATCTTTCAATGGTTCACAAAACTTCAGTTAATTAAATTTTACAGTAGGACAAGAAACTGCTTCCACTGGAAACACATACAGCAGCCTCCTCACAATTATGCAACCCATTAAGCTTCAGCAAAAACAGGCAGACTGGTAAACTACAGGTATGGAACCTGAATATTTGGCAGTAATTAAATTAAACACTACCTGAACAGCATTCTCTCATATCCTAGATGAAAACAAAATAAAAAATAATAGGAAAGGAATAAGAGAACTGTGCTGGAGGCACTTAGACTGGATGCAGCTTCAGTGGACCCTTTCCCACAACCTTTATCTCTAAGCAAAGTGGAAAGCTCATCAAACAGTTGCTGGAATTTGCACTCACAGACATAATTTTGTTTGTTTTAAAGACTGAGGAGCATTTGTTAACCAGCTAGCACAGCACAGATTCAGTGGAATCTCCTTCTTCCTGCTGTAAACTCATAGTGTAAACTATGAGCTGCTTTTCATTGTTTGTTAAGCCTCCATTTCCACTCTCCTCTCTGCCATTTGGATTCATTGCTTATTGGATTTTCTGTTTCTGAAAGAAAGTGGAGGAGCACACAACATACAAAGTAAAGAATCCTTTGTGCTTATCTGTCGAGCACAATGTCCACAATCAGCATCTCCTGATAGAGAGTAGCACAGGTCAGTTTTTAAAAATGGAAGACTTTCTGTGAGTGAATTCAGGTAAAAGGCCCAAAGATATCCACCTCTCTCAGCAAGCTGGTTTTGCTGCTGTTTTCTAGCAGATAGTTTAAAAAATTATTGAATATTTTCCTTTAGCCAGATGAAGACTTTTCTTGCTTTCCATACACTTGCAGACAACTTCTTCCTCCCACAAAGGTAAGCTAATTGAATTAGAGGAGCAACTCAGCCTGCCCATGTTCTCTGGAGAGTTGAAGGGAAACGGGGAAGAGAAAAATCTGATCCAGAGATACATTTTTGTTCTCAAGAAAATGGAAGATTTTTTTTTAGTGAAGATCAGTACATGAGATGCCATTTCTGAAACCTTGGATCACTTCAGTCCAAAGTGGGTATGGTTGATTTCTCATTAGCTCTTGCTTCAGCACTACCTTCTTCACTGTGTTTTTACTCAAGAGCTGCTTCCCCAAATACCACATTTATTATAGAATTCATCCATAATATCAGACTGGTAACTCACACTCGTGCAAAAAGACACGTCTCTCTAAAAGTAATAATAGGTTAAATGCAGGT